TTTTTTTTTTTTGGGGGGGGGGGTGTTGGGGTGTTACTGTTGCGGACAATGTTGCTTCATTTTTTTTTTCGATTTTATTTTAATGTAATACATATAGCTCAAGATGGTCATTCAACAGGTGCATCAGTATATATTTTATGATCATGATCATATGGTAAATGGTGAACCAATAGGATAATGTGTTCGTAACCATTTGTTTCTACATTTTCCTTTTTTCTAAAAGCTAATTGCCATTTTCTTGCGGCACTTTGAACTTTATCAAAAGTATGCTTTCATTACTGCATTGGATAATTTTTCAAGAGTATGCTGTTTAGCACAGCACTCGGACACTTGCCACAGAGTATGCTGCTTTTTACAGCACTCAAAAACTTTATCAAGAGTATGCTGCTTATTAATGCACTTTAACATTTAATCAAGAGTAAGTTGTTCGTTGTAGCAATTGGACACTATCAAAAATATGCTGTTTCATTGCAATATTTGGAACTTTATCAAGAGCTACGCAGTGTTGATAGGTAAGAATTTCAGCAGGTGGTAATTCGCCTTCCCATAATCCTGTCTGCATGGTCACCATCAAACAGCGACCTTTATGGTGGCGTCTACACTTTTCCACCCATCACCAGACTCAAACTTAGAAGAGCTCTCATTTTGATCTCAGTCTCACATTTACAAAAGGAACTTATTGTTTAAAAGTGCACGTGAAATCAAGATCAAAAGTAAGCTCATCTAAGTTTTTACACATCTATTTTTATATGTTATGAAAACGTTGGATGTACGTGTAAAGTTCTTGACCACTGTCCGCACTGTACTACAAAATTAGCCTGAAGTTTTAAAATTAAGAATTGATTTTTTAAACAGTTTGTTCTTTCATTTTGTGAATTAACTAGAGACATACAATGCAGCTCCACTAACTGAAAGATTGGCCGCTAATTAAGATCTTAACACCATCAATACATTAACTGATCAAAGTATCACGTGATTTCAGAGTAAACACAAAATATCGATGGAGGTTACTGTTGCAGTGCAAATTCATCAATTAATCAGAATATCATGAAATATTTATTTATGAAAGCAAACGTTTGGAATTGAGTTGACGCTCGACAAACAAAATATTTTTTAAACAACATTATTCGTTTTTATTCAGCAGTATACGCCACATGCAATTCGATAATTCTATCTGTATACATGGAGAATAATGTCTCTATGTTTTTAGCTTTTAACATCCATTTTTCTTTAAACACCATTTAGGCCACTAATGAATTCCTTTTTTATCTGAACCCCAAACTTTTGTAATCGCACGCCGGAAAAGTGAAATCATTTAGTGATACTATTGATCATTTGAAACAGAATACTTTTATCAACGCATTTAGACAATTAGAACAAGGCAGTAATGGAAGGTATTCATCACAAGCAATTATAAGCTGTAGTCCGCCAAATCATTAAAAGCCCCGGAAAACGCTCAAATCTCCACATGTTACCCTTAATTCACTGTATAGTTGCCGTACTCAACAATCAAAGTGTTCTAGAATCAAACATTACGGAACATTTTTTTAAAAATAATTATTATTTGAAGTTTTTGTTAAAATTTTGAAATTTTTACAAAGCTCTGCGAGAGATCAGTTTTCTTTGTACATAGATCTTAACCAGAGGCGTTATCGTAGACCTAAAAGAAAATAGGCGATATACATATATTTAAATGTTTAATTTTCTAGGTGATATACTACCATATACCCGATTTAAAGCCTCTGTATATTTTCGTTTCTTCTTAGAGAAGGGCTTAAATGAACTTTTAATTCCCTAACACACGGTGAATTTGAGATCGCTAACTGATTTTTGCGAGCACTTGTGATTATTTTGGAAGTGATTGGAATATTATTTTTGACATTTCGGGTGAGTCTTCTATTAACATTTGCGCTCTTTTGGCTTTCCATTGACTTTTTATGCTAATGAATAGAAACTAGTATTACATGTGACGTGAGTCAGTGTTACATTAATGAGATAGATACGGAATTTATCCTATTGGAGAATCCCTTCAAACATGTTCATTTTATACAACTAATCGACAAAGAAAGGAATTATTTAAATCATATTTGACTACAGTATAGAAAAGTCTGCAGTACTGATTGTGCCATATTTTGGCTGAAAGAGCCTCCAAATGCTAAATCTTATGGAGGCAAAGATGAATTCATTGTAATTATTATTTCTATCTTCAAACTGACTGGATAATTTCTTTTAAAAATCAGTTGACACTTCTTTGGATAGAACAGCATGTCTTGTGCGGTCATGTACATTTCAAAAATATTTCCAAATTAAACAGACTCTTTGACGTCATTTAGGAAATCGGCTTAACTTTCATAAGTAAGAGGTCAGTATGCATGTAATGGTATTTATTTGTGGTACAATTAATTTAATCAATATATCTTATTTAACATTAATGAAGTGGACAACCTGCTCAAGGACATACAAAATGCATTGTTCAAAACAGGTTCATGCACAATGTCAAATGAGTTTTTGGTAATATATATGCTACATTATCTTCAATATGAATTTGGAGAAAGCTTAAAGGTTCATGATAAGAAATGGGGTAAAATTCATTACATTGTTTTGATGAGAACATCTATTTTAAAGAAACAAAAATAAATAAATAAATTAATTAATAAATGAACAAAATAGTTAAAGTGTATATCATCTCATCATATATCATCAATGTCAATATCTACTAGAAACTAAAATTGAAATAATTAGTGCCCCGATTATATTCTGATTCCGAAATTTGCTTTATAATCGACTGAATGCATGTCCCCATGCTCGTTACACGAACAGAACAACATGGCATAATCTAGGACGAGACTGTCTCAATATTCAGCAATTCAATTTTTATCATTTATATACAAAATCATACCATTATTGCATTTAATAAGTCATTCAAAAAGGTTTGACTGTGTTTAAAATGGACAGAGGATATTGGTTCAGTTAATTGCAAATTTGATCGCAAAAAACGCGAATAATAGTGCTTCGCGTAAAGTAAACTTTCACATGATGGAGAACCCTGAGAGATTAAAGTTACTTAAAAAGAGCTAATCGAGAATTGCTAGTTCAGAACTGTCTGTGAAAGTTTAATTTTTAAAATACCAGTCCGTTCTGATTTTTTAACAAACATGCAATTTAATTTTGTAATTCCAATTACCTTTTCATAGCTACTGAGATGAGCAGATAACCTGCTTGGTTAACGCTGGGTTGGGATTATATTCTTAAGGTTTCAGTTTACACTTGAGATTTTATTGGAAAAGGTGAAAGGTTACATTTAAAGCTCTCTGAGATTTTATCATTTTTTTCATACAAATAATTGGAGAACTGATTTATTTCCTACCATCTCTTTAAAAGTTACCAATATAACACGGTTTTGTAATACGTTTGATAACTCAATTTACAAGGAATTCCGAATGAACAAAATATGAGACATTTTGAACCTTGACAGAATCATCACATGACAGGTGACTTTCTTCCTTAGAATAACTCGATGTTTCATAAAGAATTAATCTGTGTTGAATTAAATGGTTGGTAATTGACTAGACATTGTACGAAATATAGCACGTTGTAACTGTAGAAGGTCTCGTGGTTATGGAACTCTTTATACCAATACCGCTGATAGAAATGTAAATGTTTAATTATTTACTGACTAAATGACAGATTTCAATGAGAGGTTGTTGAAGCAGAAATCCCAGAAGCCGGTCTGTTGCAGGATATACTTACAATTGCTGTAACAATGCAGTTGTGATAGAGCCTATTCCGAATTAAATGGAGTCATATTGTCCTTCTACAAAAATTTAGAATTTTTCAATTTAAATTTGTATATGACAAAGTCGTCATGTTGCAGATTTTATTTAAGAAATAAAATATGTCAGAAAGGACAATATAGTCTCTCAGCATAACTGAACGCTGTTTGTATAATTGTAGCTGATGGTCCTTATGCTGCAAATCTTAGGAACCTAGCCCCGCCCCTTTTTTGAAGGTGGGGGGGGGGGGTGTTCAGGAATATCGTGTAGCACGATCATTATCACTTGAAATCTTAATTTAAAGAAAGAAATGGTCCATTAGTTGTACATATTTTGGTTAGGATCAAATTCAGCGCATATCGATACATGTGTAATTTGTTTAAATATTCTCGTCACAGTTCTTTTAATACTGTATAGTTCTATGTCAGAAATTCCCTCTAATCAAATTTGAATGCAGCACAAACTTTGTGGATTTCAGAACTACATTTAACACTGATTTTTTTTTCTTTTCTATATTACCTCTTAAGTTGCTCAATATTAGGTTACTTTTATTTCTTATAATATTATTAAAATATTAATTTCAACATGTTTTTTAAAAAAAAGTTTAGCAACTCAATTCGACCAATAAAGCGACGTATATCTGGATTTTTGCTTTTGATAATTTTTCCTCCGAGTAGCTTGCAGCTTGAAGTATATATTAAAAAACTATAAGCAATACAAAAGGATGGTAAAGAGAAACATTATTTTTTGTTATTCAACCTGCAAAAAACCAACAATACATAATTAAATATTTAATATGCCTAAGCTTTTCAAACAATGTACTTAAAAACTTTGGTCCTTTAATGTTCCGATATCTTCTTATTGTGGTGAGACGGGTCGGGGGAAAAAACAGTGCATTATTTATATTTTGATAGAGTATTATCTTTCACACTTATTAAAATAACAAACGGATCGTAGCATTGTTCTTCTCCGAAATATAATTCTTTGTATTCTAGCTAGGGGCCGATGGAGGGAACGAAAAAAAGAAACCAGACCCTCCTGTTTTTCTCACATTTAAAGATGTCATTTTTATGCCCAAAACTTTATGGTTTAAAGATGCAAAATAGGCAATGTCTGATCCATTATAACTTGTGGGAGATTTTAATTTAAATGTCTCCGCATGATAATGAATTTGAGACATTGTTTCCATTTAATGTCAGGGGATTTTAATGCATTGTTTCATCCCCTCAGCCTATCTCCTAGCGCCTCTGTTCATTTTAAGCAGCGATTCTATCTTGCATCTCATAGCAACGGTCTGTGAATGGGTTTTAATTAGATTGTTCTTGTTCTAGCTTCTCTTTGGTATTCTGAAGTGATCTTACAAACATGGGGTAGAATATTCAAGGTTTTTAGAAATTATATTTAATATTTTATCATGGACTTTCAAATTTTTTCACTATGGGGTGTCCCTCGACGGACACGGAAGCGTCGCTGGTTATACAAAGATTAAGTAAGTATAAACCAGAAATTTGTGATTTTTCTGTTATTATTCCCTACATTTAGATTATCTCGTTAAGAATAGTTCTGATTTATCAATGTGAGTACTAGTAAAGGTTGCTGTCTCGGATTGATTTAGATTTTTTTAAATACTGGAATTAAATGCAAAAAGTACATGTATATGACTTTTGGAGCTTTATTTTTTTAATTCCTTGTGAGTGAATAACACTGTAAGAAAGCCCTATGCATATTGAAATGCACTTAATTGATTTTTAATTACAGTAGATTTATTAATCTACAGAAGTGTCAAAATGAGATTATTCATAATTAATCCTTTTGAAGGTTTAAAAGTGCCAGCGAACTTTTAGAAAAAATGATTAAATTTGACATTTTGTAAGTACTGATTAATTTCGTGGAGTTGAATGGCAAACTGTTGTGATCTTGTTTTCTTCGTCACGTTCTCATAGAGTGATCACGTTTTCAGAGAAGTTGATCTTCCACTCTAATAAAGAAAATTGATTTAGATGTAACTTGTTTATTTTTAGTTTTCTTGTTTATATTCAGGTATCCAATTTAGTTGAAAAATTGCTTTTAAAACTTAAATGAGATTTTCAAACCCTTCCACTTACAAAAATAAAATATCATTTAATTTATTTGGCAACATCAGATGTCTCTCTCTCATTTTTATGATCATTTATAAATCTTTCCCATAAATTGCCAACATTCCAGCATATTCCTATGTGACATACGTAATATAACATTCAGCTGAAATATCCAACACATGCAGGAGGAAACAGCTTCTCGATTCCATGTTATTGACTGTCGTATCGACCTTTTAAATCCCTCAACTCGACCAGGAACAAAGGCTGATTGTCAAGGAGTTAGATAAAGATGTAATATCACATCTCAATTCATCTTCTATCAATGAAGATTTAAAACTTATCATTTATTAAATCAAATAAGTCACACGATGTCATGAACTGTACAAACATACGTCATCAATCGTATTGCATTTAAAGTATATGTAACATTGAACATAAAAGTTCATTTGATACCGTCAGCCGAATTTTCATATTTAAAATGTATTGATTCAAAGTTTATTTTTGAATTTAAAACTTTGATTCTTATTTCTTGAAAGATATTCGCTACTGAACTTAAATTTAATTTAGTCCAATCTCTTTAGAACGTTAGTTAAATTGCCACGACTAAACAGACGAAAGAACTCCATTTAAATATAGAAATGTGTATGGTAAATAAAATATTGACTTGCCAACCTTTTACTACGGTCAACAATCCCCATATAGACATTTTATAAACTTATGTTTATAGACAAACAACCCTCAAGTAGAACTATAAATTTTGTTCTATATCTGTAACAAATATTGCCAAATAGCTGTAACATTCATTCAATCTTACTAGATATAATAAAATTGCTCACTCTTTTGAAAATAAGTTTAAAATCAATTCTACTAGTGCACCCCCAGCCTCTTTTTGAACTAGGAAAAACATTAAAAGTCCTCAGGTTTTTTTTTTTAATGTTTTGTCCTTTATTACTTAGGATTGATTGAAAAATTATCAAGTTACGTTTTTTATGTATTATTTTTTTTCATCCAAGCTTACGTAAGAAAATGTTTAAACAATTTTGCGTATTTGATTATTTAGTTCAAACAGTAATACATGGTTGATGCTTCTGGGGATTGTGTTCTTCAAATCCTTTCTGAGCGTTATAGTTATAGTTGGAACATTTATTGGGGCTTCAGTTTAAGTACTGCTGGAAATGTGTTTTAATATTTCTACTACATTGGGAATCATTACCAATGGGGGAAGCATATTATCAAACCTTCAAGATATGAATTCTGCAAGTCAGATCTTTGAACCTGTCGAGTAATGACACATCACTTGACACATATTTTAATACGTTTTAATTCTTAATTACCACGACCATTTTTATTCTTTGAAAAATAATTTCTTCACAAGTGTGTCTAATGGTTATGTAATTTACTGGGCAAACTAACGATTCTCTCGAAGTAATTCAGAATCGTTTTTATTTAATTATGTCATGGACCTTAAGAAGAGCGGAAGGCGTAACTCTTTTGATTTTTAATGAGATTTTTGATATTGTCGCGGTGTATTATCCAAATATTTAAACGCCACTACTAGTAAACACATCTATTTAGACATCGGTCGCCACTGCACCATGAACCGAGGGGTTTAAATGTCGTATTATTATACAGTAAATCACTTTGGTAGTTGAAGTAGTGGGTTACTGGGGCCATGGACTTGTTAAAAAATGGATCAGTATATAGCAAAAAAAAAAAAAAATTGAATGAAAGATAGAAAATATTTTCAACCAATTCACCTTCAAAGCACAGAGCCTTTCAATGTTATTGTGCTAAAGAAGTTTCATATGAAATAAAGATTTAAAATAATAGACGAATTTCAATAACAAAAAAAGTGCGATGCACTTTGAACGCTAAACTTTTACAAATTCCACTTACTTTTCAAAACAAAATCTGGACAATATTATGTCAAATAAATGAGTAATGATTCGTGAAAATATTCATTATACTCCTAATCTTTTACATTGTTCACTTTGATGAATTAGCAGTAGGCTAGCAAACAATCATTAAGTGCATTGACTATTATTAAAAGTTCACCAGATCGATTAAGATTAATCATTATGTATTTACCTTCATCATGTAATTTCAAAATAAACATTGAAATATTAATGCCACTTTATAAACATTAATCAGAACATGTCCCTTATTTTGTCCTTTTTTTTAAATAATTTTTTATAAGTCAGAATTGTCAAACATTGTTTATAACCATAATAATATTAGATTATCCTTTTAATCCTGACTCTCTTCTTTCTAATTACAGGTAATCTTCCGGCGTCCTCATTACAGAGACTAATTGCTGTGGTCAAGCAATTAGACTCTTTTGTGATTGGAAGTGCGTTGCATAGGATTAACTGTGTGGATTTGAATATTAGCAGAAAATTAATCGAAGTTCTCAAACCGATTTTTCGGATTGCCCAACTCGATTGATTTTTGATTTTGTATTGTATTCTAAGTCCGATTGTCCTTACTATGTTAGAAAGAATCAAAGATCCGCCAACAATGTTAGTTTTTGGATTATTTGAGGGGGACCGCGTGTCCCTCGACGTTCCCATCGGGGCGACCGTTGGGGAGGTCAAAAAGATGTTTCAGACTAAACTTAATATTTATATAGACGAAATGAACCGAAAGGATACGAAGATACTTGTTCTTCACTACAGTGGTGCCGACTTGGAAGAGAGCTGGTGCTTCACCGATCTCGGTATTCCAGCTGGAGCCACCATCAGGGTGCTCCTCAAGGAGGAAATCAAACCGGCTCTGTACATATTCACCACTTACAACCAAGAAACCATCGACATCGTGGATAAAAATCTCAATGTGCTCACTATGCTTGTAGACGATTTGCGTACGATTGCCGGAAATAGGTCCGGCTTACCAGTTTCGATTTTTCGCTTGGTGACAGAGGATGGGAAGGAACTGTACGATGGTCACGTGCTCTATGATTACGGAATTGATAGTGGCTCCACAATCCGTCTAGAGAACTGGGATGGATGGAACGAATTCATTAATTTGTGTATTATGGGATTCACCCCACAAGTTTTAGCCCAGATTTCGACAGATGAAGTAATCGGTCGGTTTCAACAGAAAGTTGCACTCTTCATCGCAGCACATTACGGATGCGCAGATCTTGCTCGAGTGCTGATAAAGCAAGGTGTTAGAGCAGATGAACCTATTGGAGTGCATCCTCATAAATTATGGTGCACGAGCCAGGCCCACATCGAGACCAAGAAAGCCCCGATCCACGAGGCAACGGAGCAAGGTCAACTCAATGTGCTAAGGTTGATTGTTAATCACGATATAACTTCAGTCATGGCCCGGGATGGACACGACCTGTGTGCACTTAACATTGCTTTGCGTAGAAGCAAGAAGCCATGCGCATCGTTCCTTTTGACCAGACAGTGGACGAAAGTCCCGATTGGAAAACTTGGATCTGTAACTGTCCAGACTCTCAGAAGCATACGACTGTGGTGTGAGGGTGCCAAAGACAGAGCATACTCAAAATTTGGTCCAAACAAATCGTCATTGAAGAAAATGAAATATTCCGGAGGTCCATTGGTGAGTCATGGCGAACCTGTGGTTGATGGCTTTACCAAAAGTCCCATGACAGGTAAACCCCGGGCAGATACTAGAGAAAAGGACAAAAAGAAAGCATTGGAGACGTTCTATGAAGTCTATGGACTGAAGAAAGAGGATCCCGAGGTGTATTTTAGAAACATGGGAGCCTTGGAAAATTTCAAAAGTCTTAAGCTTAGGAGAAATACCAAATGGGGAAATGTTTTTGATAAGTCGGAGATGGCTTCTTCGTTCTCAAAAGGATTATTTGGTCATCCAGAGCAAAGTGAAAGTGACTCGTCCGAGAGAGAAATGAAAGCTGTGCCTCGTGTTCCGAAAGCCTCTTCTATGAAACAGAACACAATGCTAACAGAAAACACTGTCGATTCGTCAGTTATGATGGGGAAGCTGTTGAGAGGAGGGACACAGACAACAGCTAACGAATCCACAGGTACGGAAAATTATATTTCGCTTCCACCTATGAAAGTTAATATTCCGGTGATATCTGAAAATGCTCAAGAGCCAGAGGTCAAAATGAAGAAAAATGCAGCTAAACCAGCCTTTTCTAGTAGAGGACTACGTAAAGTTAAGTCAGATATGCACGACCACGAGGGTCCTATCGCAGAGGAGGACCACATATCAAAGCTTCCAACGGAGGAACGGTTGAAGCAAACGTCGAAATTACCGCCAATAGTTATGAACCGCAATAGAAAAATTAGTGAAAATGCTGCAGACGACTCTGATAGAGAATCGTACATTGAACAGAAAGAAAAGACAAAAGACTCCAAACAAAAATTCTTCCAAACTCCCAAATTGCATACCTCTTTACCGGACCTGAATTCTTTAGAGAAAACAAAAACATCGATGATAGACGAGCCACCATCTTCACCCACAGAAACCAACAAAACCGACAAAAAGAATCGTAAACGCAAGCGCATCACTTCCGCAGCCCTAATCTCTCAGGCGAAGGCGGCCGAGGGGGCGGTTCCTCTGCCTATGATTAGCCAAGAGAATCAGAGTAGGCCTTTCTTCTATCATAATGGTCTAAGAGAAGAGGATGTCGTCAATCCCATGATGGATCTGGTGACCAAACATCAAGGGTGTACAGCAAGGGACCGCGCCATTAAATCACTAACTATAGCCAACAGCTTCAAGGAGAAGCCGTGGTTAACCCAGGTCCGCATGGCACTGTCTCTCACTTCTCAATCCATCAAAAGACCACTCAAAGGAACAAGTCTTCGACGGAAGCTGTTAAAACAGGCCCAGTTTGACTGACATGCTTGATGTGTTTAATTTTAATTTACTCAGCAAGACTTTTTTTTACAATGTTTTTAAACCCATGTGTCATATAGGAAGTACTAGTAGTGACATCATATATAACAAATAAATTAAACACATCATCTAAGTTAATGTTACAACCAATCATTTTGTGCCAAATGATTTATTCATTAAACCTTAATTATTTAATTTTGTCTTTTTTTAATCAGTAGGAAATCTTTGTACAATCTGAATTGACAGCTGGGTTTCGAAGTTGCTGGTGAGGTATTCACGAATCGCTATAGTCTCACTCTTGGCTTACACAACTGTACAAAGAGCTCTTCAATGGGTTCTTATAGACGAGACCCCAAGACCATAAATTGGGATCATGAGACTGACATATTTAGGTCTAAATTTCAATCGCATCCAAGATTCTTGTTAACTCTGACTTAAATTGCAGATAATATTGGGAGATGCAGTATCTGAAATGATATTATTTTGGACCGCTTGACATCTATACTATTGTCAATGACACAAGTCTAGAAAGTAGAAATGTTCCTTATAAAACATTTTTAGGTCACCTGAGTCACTCAGGTGACCTATTGCTATCCGTTTTTGTCTGTCGTCGTGCGTCGTGCGTTAACTTTTGAACATTTTCAGCTTCTTCTCTAAAACCGCTCAACCAATTTCAACCAAATTTGGCATATAGCATCTATGGGTGAAGGGGAACAGAAATTGTGAATTTCATGGTCCCTGCCCCCCTGGGGCCCCAGGGGTGGGGCTAAAACCACCAAAATTGATGCAATCTTTAAAAATCTTCTCTTTTACTCCTGGACATCAAGAAGTCAAACTGTTGGCATGATTGTAATAAGCATTGAACCCTCTACCTAAATTGTGAAATTCATGGCCCCAGGGTCAGGGGTTCTGGTGCTAGGGTGGGGCTCTATTGATTATATAGTGAAAATGCATTATTTCTTTGAAAATCTTCTTCTCTGCTCCTGGGTATTATTTAAACAAACTAAGTGCAGGGTTATGACAAGCAATGATGCCTTTTCCAAAATTGTGAAATTCATGGCCCCTGGATCAGGGGTTCTGGTGTTAGGGCGGAGCTCTATTGATTGTATAGTGAAAATGCATTATTTCTTTGAAAATCCTCTTCTCTGCTCCTGGGTATTATTTAAACAAACTAAGTGCATGGTTATGACAAGCAATGATGCCTTTTCCAAAATTGTGAAATTCATGGCCCCTGGGTCAGGGGTTCTGGTGTTGGGGGGGGGGGGGTCTATTGATTATATAGTGAAAAAGCATGAATTCTTTGAAAATCTTCTTCTCTGCTCCTGGGTATTATTTAAACAAACTAAGTGCATGGTTATGACAAGCAATGATGCCCTTTCCAAAATTGTGAAATACATGGCCCCAGGGTCAGGGGTTCTGGTGTTAGGGCGGGGCTCTATTGATTATATAGTGAAAAAGCATGAACTCTTTGAAAATCTTCTTCTCTGTTCCTGGGTATTATTTAAACAAATTAAGTGCATGGTTATGACAAGCAATGATGCCTTTTCTAAAATTGTGAAATTCATGGCCCCTGGGTCAGGGGTTCTGGTGTTAGGGCGGGGCTCTATTGATTATACAGTGAAAATGCATTAATTCATTGAAAATCTTCTTCTCTGCTCCTGGGTATTATTTAAACAAACTAAGTGCATGGTTATGACAAGCAATGATGCCTCTTCCAAAATTGTGAAATTCATGGCCCCTGGGTCAGGGGTTCTGGGGTTAGGGGGGGGGTGTTTCTACTGATTATATAGTGAAAAGCATGAATTCTTTGAAAATCTTCTTCTCTGCTCCTGGATGTTATTTAAACAAACTAAGTGCATGATTATGACAAGCAATGATTGCTTTTTCCAAAATTGTGAAATTCATGGCCGCAGGGTCAGGGGTTCTGGTGTTAGGGCGGGGCTCTATTGATTATATCGTGAAAATGCATTATTTTTTGAAAGTCTTCTTCTCTGCTTCTGATATTATTTAAACAAACTAAGTGCATGATTATGACAAGCAATGATGCCTTTTCCAAAATTGTGAAATTCATGGCCCCAGGGTCAGGGGTTCTGGTGTTAGGGCGGGGCTCTATTGATTATATAGTGAAAATGTATTATTTCTTTGAAAATCTTCTTCTCTGCTCCTGGGTATTATTTAAACAAACTAAGTGCAGGGTTATGACAAGCAATGATGCCTTTTCCAAAATTGTGAAATTCATGACCCCTGGGTCAGGGGTTCTGGTGTTAGGGCGTGGCTCTATTGATTATACAGTGAAAATGCATTAATTCATTGAAAATCTTCTTCTCTGCTCCTGGTCATTATTTAAACAAATTAAGTGCATGGTAATGGTGCACAAGGATGCCTTTTCCAAAATTGTGAAATTCATGGCCCCTGGGTCAGGGGTTCTGGTGTTAGGGCGGGGCTCTATTGATTATACAGTGAAAATGCATTAATTCTTTGAAAATCTTCTTCTCTGCTAGTGGGTATTATTTAAACAAACTAAGCGCATGGTTTTGATGCACAAGGATGCTTTTTCTAAAATCGTGAAATTCATGGCCCCAGGGTTGGGGAGGGGGGGGGACTCTATTGATTATATAGTGAAAATGCATTAATTCTTTGAAAATCTTCTTTTCTGCTCCTGGTTATAAAGTAAACTAAGAGTGTAGTTATGATGAACAAGAGTGCTTCTTCATGAATCATAGCCTCTAAGTCAGATGTCTGGTGTAAGGATGGGTCTCTATCGATAATATAGTGAAAATGCATTAATTCTGTTAAATAATCCTGTCTGCTCCTTAGTGTTGAGCAAATAAATAAAGTGCATAGTTATGATGAACAATTGAGCTTCTTACAAAATTTTAAATTGGGGGGGGGGGGGCTATATTTGTTTATAAAATGAAAATGTGTTAATTCTTTGAAAATCTTCAACTAAATGCATAGTTATGATGATGATGAGGGTACCTCTACCAAATTTATGAATTTCATGACCCGGGGACATGGGTGTTAGGGTAGGGGTGTGTTAAATCTGTAGTGAAAATGCATTTTTTCTTTGAAAATCTTCTCTGCTCCTTGGCATATTGAAGACGAACAGAATTAAAGTTTTAATAAGCTAGGATATTTTTACCAGATTTTGAACATCAGGACCATTTGGTAAAGTGTTCTGGTCCTAGTCAGGGCTCATGACAAGATAGACTTGTAAATAATAAATAGATAAAAAAGAGACAAAAATAACTTATTAAATGTTCTTCAAAGACCAAGAGAGGCCAATGTGACAGGTTGCGATGTGGGGTTAAAAGTAGTACAGAGGAACTATTAGTTTGTTAATAGTCTGCATGGTGATAGTGCTAAATGGGGGATAAATTAGAATTTAATGTATGAGTTGTTACTGAATACTAGACTAATTATTTCATTGATTCTGATCATCCTGTTTCTCTTGCTTTTGGGCAACAAAGCTTCATCTATCAGTTTATTTTATACTCTATGGATCCTCTAAATTGTTGTATTATACTCAGGTGACCGTTAAGGCCCTTGGGCCTCTTGTATATTTATCGAAAGTATAATGAGTTATTTTAGTATTATTCTAATTTTTTTGACTAATAATGAAATTAATTCACAATTTAAGAAAGTTAACTCGCAGCAGGTATAGTCACATGTCATACATTGCTGCTCAACTTAGTCCTATATCAAACGTCGATTGTAGCCGTCTGCGCTGCATTTCATTTCCGGAATTTGCATTGCAATTCCGACATTTTTTGTTTTCATTTCCGACATTTTTTTTTTTATTTCCGACATTTATTTGTTTACATTTCCGGATTTTTTTTTTAGGTACAAGTAACTTTCTGACAATTTAATGTTAGCGAAGTAGGTGGAAATTGAATTTTAAAGGATATAAATATTACATTTATTTCAAACCCCATTTTTCCGATTAAAAACATTACAGTACATGCAGCACTAAGTCTAGTAAAAAGTCTTCTGTAAAATAAATAAGCATGCAATTTGTTCACCAAATTTAATGTTCACTGAATTATATGTCTGTGAATATGAATTCCCTCAACTATGATAATTTTATTCCCTCAAATATAGTTACTGTATGTCTTACAGGGGCGTAGCTGTCTATACGCAAATACGCAAGTGCGTACACATCATTTAAAAAAAAAAGAGAGGGAGAGAGAGAGCTTATTCGAAGAAAAAATCTCAGTACCATCCAACAAATGTTCGTGTTTCCAATTATTTTGTGTCAAACTGTTTCTATTTGAATTTTATATTATCACGACTATATAATAAACCTTTAATTTAAATACTTTATTTAATCATTAACAAATCCAAATAAATCGTTCATTAATTTGCCACTGTTTTCAATACATTGCTATGATCTACTAGTATATGGTTTAAAATACGATATTGTTATAATTAATGTTAAGGTTAATTAATGAATGAAATATTTGGAAAACTCAGGAGCTTCTGGGCCCTCACCAGCAGGCACATAAGGGGTTCAGGGGAATGGCCTATCCCCCACTTATTTCCAAACACCTAACATTTAACTATTGAAAATATTTATTGAAAGGTTGCCCCCCCCCCCCCCACATCTTTTTGTTGTAGCAGAATTAAATCATGGTAATTTGGTAATGTTTTTTAATAAAAAAAAAAATTTGATTTGTGTAATTTGGAACATAACCCACCCATCCCGTCTCCCTGCCGTTCTCTGCGTACACTTCCCTTCCATGCTGGCTACGCGCCTGTCTTATAAATTCCATCTTAACCTGTCTGATCTCAAACTCAACCAGACTGATTTGAAAAGGAGATGAGCAAAAAATCAGAACACTTTCATATGTCCAAACATAAAATCATAATAAAATTCTTTAAAAGCTAAGCAGAACTTATTATTTGGATATCACTGAATTATTCTCGATTTATTCTTTAATATTTTTTTTATAAGGGAAGTTTCAATTCTGTTTTCTTTGCCGGAAAAGTATTTTATGATAAATGTCGGACATGAAAACTCTAAAATGTCGGAAATGAAAACTACAAAATGTCGGAAATGAAAAGATCAATATTTTAAAATATTCCGGAAATGAAATGCAGCCGTAGTCTGATGACAAACACTTTTTATTAGATAAGTACAACTGGGGAAGGACCACACATACAGTAGGGAAAGGAACAATAATTGATATTAATCCACAAGAATGGGGATGTGTTTTTGATCTCCTCACGTACCATGTATGTAGGAACGTTTTCTTGTTTTAATTATATGTTTAAGTTCCAAACAACTTCCCCCCAAATGGTAAACTTACATTACGTTTGTTTTACTAAGTTTGACATTCAGCACTCAAAGATGACTTGCAAATAGAATAAACAAGGTCACCTGAAAAATTTGACCAACTGCGCTTTTTTGGGGGGGAGGGGGGGTTCAAGGGCAATACATCTACATCTAATGAAAATCAGCACCAACTCCAAATAACAGCATACAGAGAGGTCAAAAGGTTTCATGTCTCTTTATTAATTTTTGAGAGCCTTTCACAACTTCTATGAAGAGAAGTACCTTACAATTCTAAAGAATAAATCTGATAGAATAAAGTATGGTCATATTAAGACTCTGAGGATAAAACTCTTTAAACTAAATTTTATATTAATTGTCACTTACCACTTTCCATATTTTCCCAAAAAATAAAAGATGCACAAGCTTGGTTGTATTTATTTACGCACTGATATAAGAAATATCTTAAGTTCAACTTCTTTTTTCTCAATAGTAAAAAAAAAAATATATCATCAAACACAGGGAACTCAAAAAATTGAAATTCAGCACCATTTTTTTTACCCTTTCATATGGATTTAAATTCAATGCTGATTTTGAACAAGGTGCCAATCTAAGCTCTTAATCACAAATTTTTAAACTGTTTTGACTTTTGTTTAATGAGGGACCTCCTTGAGTACTTATACTGTGTCCATTTTTATAATGGAAAGTTATTATTTGTAAGTGAACTTAAAATGACCTTTAGCAATGTGGACTGAAAATACTGATTTCCAATGTTTAAAAAAAATATATAAGAATCTTTTCTGATATTTTTTATGTACTTTGTTCTCTCAGCTTTACAAAGAAAAAGAAAAGGGAAAGTGCAAAACACTTTAATAAGATTCTTATGTCTTGCCATTTAAACGGTACATTTTTCCAATTAATAATATTAAAACTAATACAATTGAATAGATATGCTTAATTTAAAATGATCATACATGTTTCAAATCACTGAAGCAAATATTTAAAATTATCTTGAAAACAAAATGTGTTTGTGAAACACTGATGCCCCCGTATGGCAGCTTATGGCGAATTTTAAAGTTTCTCAAATGCAAGTCAAAATCCAGGCAAAAAGATAAAAAAATGTTGGTACCCAAAGAAAGGTCTTGTCTCGAGGAATATACCTGTGAAATTTGAAAGACCTAGCTGCAACTGTTCAAAAGTTAGGGCGAAGGTTAAAGTTTTTAAAAAGTAAGTAAAACGTCAAGGTCAAAGTGGTTGGTATCCAAAGGAAGGTCTTGTCACAAGGATTACATATGTGAAGTATGAAAGCCCTAGCTCCAACCATTCAAAAGTTATGGCCAAGGTTAAAGTTTTTCAAAAGTAGGTCAAACTCCTATGTCAAGGTCAAAGGGTCAAAGTGGTTGGTATCCAAAGAAAGGTCTTGTCACAAGGATTACATATGTGAAGTATGAAAGCCCTAGCATCAACCATTCAAAAGTTATGGCCAAGGTTAAAGTTTTTCAAAAGTAGGTCAAACTCCTATGTCAAGGTCAAAGGGTCAAAGTGAATGGTATCCAAAGAAAGGTCTTGTCACAAGGATTACATATGTGAAGTATGAAAGCCCTAGCTCCAACCATTCAAAAGTTATGGCCAAGGTTAAAGTTTTTCAAAAGTAGGTCAAACTCCTATGTCAAGGTCAAAGGGTCAAAGTGGTTGGTATCCAAAGAAAGGTCTTGTCACAAGGATTACATATGTGAAGTATGAAAGCCCTAGCATCAACCATTCAAAAGTTATGGCCAAGGTTAAAGTTTTTCAAAAGTAGGTCAAACTCCTATGTCAAAGTCAAAGGGTCAAAGTGAATGGTATCCAAAGAAAGGTCTTGTCACAAGGATTACATATGTGAAGTATGAAAGCCCTAGCTCCAACCATTCAAAAGTTATGGCCAAGGTTAAAGTTTTTCAAAAGTAGGTCAAACTCCAAGGTCAAGGTCAAAGGGTCATAGTGGTTGGTGTCCAAAGGAAGGTCTTGTCACAAGGATCTCATATGTGAAGTATGAAACCCCTAGCTCCAACCATTCAAAAGTTATGGCCAAGGTTAAAGTTTTTCAAAAGTAGGTTAAACTCCAAGGTCAAGGTCAAAAGGTTAAAGTTGTTGGTATCCAAAGGAAGGCCTTGTCACAAAAAATATATATGTGAAGTTTGAAACCCCAAGCACCAACTGTTCAGAAGTTATGGCCAAGGTTAAAGTCTCATAAAATTTTGCAAAAGTGGGTCAAACTCCAAGGTCAAGGTCAAAAGGTCAAATATGACGGTACCCAAAGAAAGGTCTTGTCACAAGGAATACACATGTGAAATATGAAAGTCATAGCTTTAACCAATCAAAAGTTATGGGCAAGGTTAAAGTTGACAACAGACAGACAGACAAACAGACAGACAGGACAAAAACAATATACCCCCGGGATCTTTCGATTCGGGGGCATAAAAAAATGGCCGAGTTTTACAATCACTAAAGAATCAGTTTGACAACATCACATTAGACCATTCCTACTGGTGGGGATACATTGGGAAAATCGTCTTTATCTTTCCGTGATTCCAGCATTACCCGAGGTACTTTGACTGTAAACATTCCACCATCTTCTTTCTCAACTCCATATGTAGCCCTGGCAGTGAAGAGAATGGAACATATCATAATGTATTGAACATTATTAATTGATATTTCTTGTATAATGTACATAATGTCAAAACTAAAAAGGTAGTGCTAATATGTGGTCTTCTTGTGAAGTATAAGTTATGGAATCCATGCTTTATTCACAGATACAAAATTTTAAAAGCTTCATTAGAAAAATAAATAATGACCAAACATTCTCACCACATAGCACCACTGGGGGCATCAAGTTCTACATTACTCCAGTATTGGAAAGTTCTTCCAGGGTAAATCTTAGGTTGCTGAAATTATGAACTGAACACATGTATTCATGCATAAAAAAGAACAAATTAATTTCCTTGTTTGAATTGTTGATAATAAACATACTAACATTTCTTAACTTACCATCCCTACAACACCTTGTGATAAGGGAGAGCATCGTTGAGAGTTAGGAATACTTAACGTTGTCCATTTACGATTCCGAATTTGTATAATATCATCTCTCAGGTTATCAATTCTTATCACATACCGCCACTACAAAATAAAATCGATGATCTTTAGATATTAGAGATGTGCTTGTCAAAATGAAAAACACAGGTATTTTTCACTAGTAAAAGGCCAATAACTCAAAGAAATTAAATTTACCTAATTGTTTTAAAATCAAGATCCCTATGTAAAAAGTTTAAATTAACTTGTCATTTACTATACAAGTACATGTATAAAATGTTGATGGTTAAAATTAACGGATAAGCTTTTCTTACAGCTGAGTCCTAAAAGTTATTTCAGGATTAAATATATATAATGACATCAGAAGATTGTACTCACATAATGCTTCCCTCCACTGTCCCCCTGAAAACAAACACAAGTATCTCTATAGATCAAGAATGGAGTTTTTACCAAAAGACTTCACACACTGATTGCTAATGATACTCACCCCAGTCTTATCAGCATGTCTGCTGCTAAAATTAAAATATCCCGGAACCTGTCACAGAAAATATACAAGTAAAAGATATAGGTAAGTCCTACAAATGTATGTATCAAATATGGGTAGATTAATCTAACAGATCAACTCAGCCTCAACACAAAAGGCATATATTCAAAAATATTGGATAAGACATGATTAATATTTGTAGCTATCAAAAACAAATGTGCATTTTTCTGTAAAAAAAAAAAAAAATTAAATCAAATTCTAAGTTTAAACAAAACATATATAGGTTTGTTTTCATACTGCATTCATTATTTTTCTCACACACAAAAAAGTTTAAAATGTCATACATTATATGAACTCATTAAGGTTCATAAACCCTCTGCTCACTCATATAAAATCTTTAACTTTTATGATTTTCCACAAGAAATGATTTTTTAAAGTAAAATACTAACAATTATAGCATAGCTTGCAGGGCAAAATTGGACAAAAAAGACACTTCAACTTGACAAATTTATAAAGGATTAACAGACATTTATGTAATTAAGAGTAATCTCTCTTATCAGAGTATTGATAAACCTTAATACACTGTATAAGAAGCTTTTAAGTAGCTGTATAACTTCATCTCCTAGAGAACTTAAAATCTGAATTTGAGATAAAAAAAAAATATAGTATTCATGGCACATGTATACTGCTTCAGAAATAAAGTTTTTTTCCCATTAAGAATATATGTAAAACCATTTTTTACACAATGATGATATTAAAGGGTATTCTGTAGAGAGAGCATTATCTTACGTATTCCGACTTCTTTAAATAAAATGGCATCACAGTAACACGGACATTTTCTGTTGTTTCTTGAAAGACACTGGTAATTCTCATAAAGGAAAGAGTGCTTATCTCCTCTGAAATAACAAAAGTCAACATCTCAAGCCTAAAATTAGGTCAATATTGGTTTTAAAAATTATAAGCATTGTTTTGAAGGCTTATAATTACACACATTTTTGTAACTTGGCCTAACTTGTAATTTTTTTGGAGTATTAGAATTTTTTTTTAAAAACATGAAGATCTTGATACATATGAAGGAAACTTAATGGCTAAGATTCACCAATGAAAGCAGCTGTATTGTTCTGCCATTTGGCAAACAGTTTGTTGTCTATGACCGGATTTTCTGTGCTCTGATAGGGCAGAATATCCTCATGAGGAACTAAGTCAACACCTAAAAATAAAACGATGGTTATAGTTCTACACATGATGTTGATACTGAGACAGTGGCTAATGACAAGTAGCACTGCTCTCTCATTATTACAAACTAATTCCATTTTTTGTTGTCTTACATTAGAAAGTTACATGGACGTTCAGTCACCCTTGTCTCTCAGTTTGTTTTCAATTACCTCAGTTAGAGTGGGTTTTATGTGTATGAGAAACAACAGAGTAAAGTAAGTCATAAGAACTTTTCTGTCTCAAAATTAACCCTCTGAACTTAAATACATGTGCCTTGATGTCAAATCTGCAGTTCTAAATCATCTCATCTACCCCCTACACAAAGGGTTACACTTCCAGTCCCTATGTCCTTGACCTTGTCAAAGTAACCAAGGTCATTATACACCTTCATTAGCAATAATTTTCCTAAGCACTGAATACTTATGTATGTGCATCAAATGTTTATCTCTACAGAGGACAGAGATACATGTACACTGTATAGTGTAGGCATGATAAAGATGGACAAACAGACAAATCTCTTAAAATTTGAAAGAAGGGGGTACTATAAAGAAGAGAACATATCTATAACCTTACATACCTCTTACATGGACTAAAAATTTACTCATTTTGTTTGTAACGTCACTTGCAGTATAAGTCCTTTGTACCTATAAAAGAAGGACACTAAATATTCAATATCCTCATGATTATTATTATATTTTAAATAAGTCTAAATAAACAAGAGGCCCATGGGCCACAACGCTCACCTGAGTAACTTTGGCCATGCTGTTCTTCACCAGATTTTCCCACTGTAATACGTATTGTGGCCCCACCCTATCCCCGGGGGTCACGATTTGAATAATTTACAATCTTCACTACCCCAGGATGCTTCCTTGTAACTTTCAGCTTTTCTGGCCCACTGGTTCTTGAGAAGAAGATTGATAAAGATTTTTCCTATACATTTCAATGTAAAACTTTGATTCCCCATTGTGGCCCCATCCTACCCTGGAGGTAAAGATTTTAATAATTTGAATCTTCGCTACCTAAGGATGCTTCCATGTAAGTTTCAGCTTTTCTGGCCCACTGGTTCTTGAGAAGAAGCTTTTTAAATGTTTTTCCTATATATTTCAATGTAAAACTTTGATTCCCCATGGTGGCCCCACCCTACCCTGGGGGTAAAGATTTGAATAATTTCGAATCTTTGCTACCTAAGGATGCTTCCATGTAAGTTTCAGCTTTTCTGGCCCACTGGTTCTTGAGGAGAAGCTTTTTAAATGTTTTTCCTATATATTTCAATGTAAAACTTTGATTCCCCATTGTGGCCCCACCCTACCCCCAGGGATCATTATGTGAATAATTTAGAATCTACACTACCCCAGAATGCTTCCTTGTAAGTTTCAGCTTTTCTGGCCCACTGGTTCTTGAGGAGAAGCTTTTTAAATGTTTTTTCTATATATTTCAATGTAAAACTTTGATCCCCCATTGTGGCCCCACCCTATCCCCGGGGGTCATGATTTGAACAAATTACAATCTAAACTACCAAATAATGCTTCCATGTAAGTTTCAGCTTTTCTGGCACACTGATTCTTGAGAAGAAGATTTTTAAAGATTTTTCCTATATATTTGAACGTAAAACTTGAATTCCCTATTGTGGCCCGCCCTACCCCGGGGGTCATGATTTGAACAATTTAGTATCTACACTACTGAAGGATGCTTCCACATAAGTTTCAGCTTTTCTGGCTAAGTGGTTCTTGAGAAGAAGATTTTTAAAGATATTTTCTACATATTTCAATGTAAAAATTGGATTCCCATTGTGGCCCCGCCCTACCCCCAGGGGGTCATGTTTTGAACAATTTAGAATCTACACTACCCCAGGATGCTCCATATAAGTTTCAGCTTTTCTGGCCCAGTGGTTCTTGAGAGGATTTTTTAATGACCCCACCCTATTTTTGTCTTTTCTTGATTATCTCCCCTTAGAAGGGGGCTTGGCCCTTTATTTTTCTTTAATTTAAACTCCCCTTCACCCAAGGATGCTTTGTACCAATTTTGGTTAAAATTGGCCCAGTGGTTCTTGAGAAGAAGTTGAAAATGTGAAAAGTTTACAGACAGACAGATGGACGACGGACAACGGGTGATCAGAAAAGCTCATTTGAGCTTTCAGCTCAGGTGAGCTAATAAAAACAAGAGACAATTACAAGGGTATCTAGTGGTCTAGTGGTTTTATTACATACACTAACATCATTCCGGCGAATATCTCTCTCATCACACAATACATGATAATATTTATGTTTCTTCTCTTTCTTTCTGCCTCCCAAGAATCCTCCTGTTTTTCTACAAAGTAAAATTTTACAAACACTGTCATTGTTAAGTGAAAAATTAGGCTCTGACCATTTTCTAATTTACCATACTCACCATGTTTCTCACTTACCAAAACTGGTGCTTAAAAGTTCTAAATTTAATGGATATTTAAATATAGCATATATTTCTGGACTTATCTTACAAGCATTACTGGATTATAAATAGAATTGTGTGATGCTGATTTTAATGCTTACACATTACCCAATTCTAATGGCCCTGTGCTATAAAGTGTGGCTATGACATCCACTGACACTGTTAAAATTCTCCCATCATGTTTAGATGAAGTGTTGGATCTTTGTCATAGATACTTACATACTGTCTAGTCCTTGTTCTGGTGGTTCTGTAATGTGAAGTGTGGCAGGATTTTGTCCAAATATCACTCCTCGGTAGCCAAAAGTTTTGTTGATGAATGTCTAAAAACAGAGGATGAATCCAAGTTCCATATATCTATGAATTGCATGAATTATGAACAGTTGAACTTTGGTTCTCCAACATTGATATCTCAAATACCATGGATACCTCAAAGTGATTTGGATGGTTCCATCTCTTTTTGTTTATGAATTTTACCCTCAATGTTATGAATCCTCAGGTTTGACTGTATCTACTAGACTAAGTATGTCTCTAAATATCATTTCATTTGCAATGCAAATCTGCAACATTGAGTTAGTCAATACGTAAAACAAACTTATGTCTATTCTTACAAATACATAAACATTACAAATTCTAAGCTTTTATGCCCCCCTAATCAAAGATTAAGGGGTATATAGTTTTTGCCCTGTCCGTCCATCTGTCTGTCTGTCTGTTTGTATGCAAAAACTTTAACATTGCCCATAACTTTTGATTGGTTGAAGCTATGGCTTTCATATTTCACATGTGTATTAGACCTTCCTTTGGGTACCAACATATTTGACCTCTTGACCTTGACCTTGGTTATTGACCCACTTTTGCAAACTTTACTCAACTTTAACCTTGGTCATAACTTTTGAACAGTTGGTGCTAGGGCTTTTATATTTAGCATGTTTATTTCTTATGACAAGGTCTTTCACTGCATACCATTAATTTGACCCTTTGACCTTGAGTGAGAGTTTGACCCACTTTTAGGAAACATTAACCTTGACCATAACTGTTGAATGGTTGGTGCTTGGGCTATCTACCAGGTATATCCATTGACACAAGTTCTTTCTTTGGGTAACAACATTTTTGACCTCTTGACCTTGGAGTTTGACTTGCATTTGAGAAAGTTTAACCTTCACCATAAGCTGCCACACGGGGGCATCAGTGTTTCAGAAACACATCTTGTTTGTGTTGAGAGGACTATGGATGGCTTTCTATATTGATGGAACTGTTCATTCTAACCATTTATTTGCAGATCATTTTGAATCTGTATTGAAAATTTATCACAGATTTGACATTTACTTGCTACTGTTTTGAAGGAGTTTTTTTTGCAAATGTTTGATATATAACAACTAATTTTTGTCCTTCATCAATTTATATAAGTAAATACTGTTACCATGGTAACATACCTCTCCAATTTCGTAAGCTTCATGCTCTTCTTTCTCATCAAGTGCAGGTCCAACTGCTACACAACTACAAAAAAATATATATATCAGTAATTTTACATTAATTTGCCATGTTAAGTATTCTGGTCGCCTTCTTGCAAAGTGAAAAAAATACATACAACATGTACTGTAGTACATGTATTCCCAACATTGGCCACTGGTGCCTTTGGCAATTTTTTTTATCACAAGATAAACAACTCTATCAATAGAAACAAAAAGATTTTAATTCATGCTACAGAGAATAATCCAAAAAGTATTGGTGTTCTTGTCAGTAATTTGTGCTACAACCATAATTCTGTGAGGATTTCTCAGTGAGGTGTCAAAGTAGGTCAAACTTTGTTTTCCAAGCCCCATTAATACACAGAAATGTCCTCTTAGAATTTCCTGGAACAAATACATGGATATATTTTTACAAGACCTATACACTCCACAATAATGATGATTACACTGACAATTTTCTGTATAGACTACAACTGTTCTGTATCTACATTTGACAACTCTAATCATCATAATCATTTTACACAAAACAACAAAAATCATCGAGGAAGTAAAAAAGAAGGAGAAAATGGCAGTTTATACGTCAAACATGCAGTCACCAAATGCAGCAAGAACAGCAGCAGCTAATAGAAATGAGTGGAGACATTCTGTGGAGGCCCTATGTGCCACCAGGAACAAGGAGGATAGGTAACAGGTAACAATAATCATACTTTAACTTTAACTTCAAGATTGACACCAAATACTTCTGTCCTTATTATGGCTCCTCATGATGGCTCAGTAATATTTCATATATATGTGTTATGTAATCATAAAACACATGACTTGAATATTATTGAGAAAGCATTATAGCATAGATTAATACATTGTTTTTTCTTTGAGAAAGACTATTGAGTAATTCATAGGCATTTTATCACATTCATACATCCCAACTTTTGAAAAATCCCATAGGGGATTTTGCACTTAACAACAATTTTCAAAGCAGTGCCTTCTGGATATCTCCTTGTCATTACAAAGAAATACAAGAGGCCCAAGGAGTGATAAATAAAGCTATATTACCCAAAAACCAGAGAAATAGGATGATCAGGGATCAGCAAAATATTAATTTAGTAATCAATAACAAATCTTAAAGTTAATCTACTTAATTGCCTGTACTATCCCCCATTTGTCACTATACTCATGTGGGCTAAACAAAGCACTACATGTATTAGTTAAAACATTTCATTCCCCCTCGTTAGCCTCTCTTAGTCTTTGAAGATTATATATTGTACAAAGATATGGTATTTTTGTCCAATTTTCATTTGTCTATTATTTGAAAGTATACCTGACCATTAAACACTATGAAAGTACTTTTAGTATTAAATTACAATAAAATTTCTTGCCATATAATTCTGTTATACAATTGACCTTCCAAGTTACATTATTTATAGTGATTAACTATTATAGGTGAATAGCAATGGGGAATAACTTTTTTTAGTAGAAATTAATAAATTGACCGAAGGATACAGAATTTCAAAATCTGGTAAAAACATCCTTGCTTATTACTTTACATATACTTTATTTGCCTCCTAGATGCCCAGTAGCAGAGAAGAAGATTTTCAAGGAAATAATCCATTTCCACTACAGATTCAATACAGCCCCACCCTAATACCAATGCCCCTGACCCAGGGGCCAAGATATTCACAATTTTGGAAAAGGCATTCTTGCTCATAACTATACACTCAGTATGTTTCCTTAATACAGATGGGCAGAGAAGAAGATTTTTAAAGAAATAATGCATTTCTATGATATATTCACAATTTTGGAAGAGGCGCCCTTGCTCATCATAACTATACACTTGGTTTATCTGCTAAATACCTAGGAGCAAAGAAGAAAATTTTCAAAGAAATAATGCACTTTCACTATACCGGTATTATCAATAGAGCCCCTCCTTTCCCCAAGAATCCCTTCACCCTGGGGCCACAAGTTTCACAATTGTGAAAGAGGCATCCTTGATCATCATAACCATGCACTTAGTTTATCTGCTAAATACCCAGGGGCAGCAGGGTTCTCACTAGGATTTTGCTAACTTGAGTCCCAGCAGAGAAGAAAATTTTCAAAGAATTAATGCAATTTCACAATATCATCAATAGAGCCCTGCCCTAATACCAGAACCCCTTACCCAGGGGCCATGATATTCATAATTTTGAAAGAGATGCCTCTGCAAATCATACCTATATACTTGGTTTATCTACTAAAAACCTAGGAGCAGAGAAAATTTTCAAAGAAATAAATAGTGCACTTTCACTATATAATCAATAGAGCCCCCCCCCCCCCATTTCCCGGAGAACCCTTTCATTCTGGGGCCACAAATTTCACAATTTGTAAGAGGCACCCTTGATCATTATAATCATGCACCTAGTTTATCTGCTTTTTAAACAGGAGGAAAGAAGATTTTTAAAGAGTTAAGGCATTTTAACTATATGATCATTAGAGCCCCTCCATAACACCAGAACTCCTGACGCTTGGGCCATAAATTTCACAATTTTGATAAAGGGCTCAATTCTTATTAAAATCCTGCCAACAGTTTGACTGCTTGGTGTCCAGGAGTAAAGAGGAATATTTTTAAAGATAGCACTAATTTTGATGGTTTTAGCCCCATCCCTCAGCCCCCCCTCCCCCCCCCCCCCCCCCGGGGGGGGGGGGCAAGAAATTCATAATTTTTGTACCCCTTCACCCATTGATGTGATATGCCAAAATTGGTTCAGTGCTTAAAGAGAGGAAGCTGAAAATGTTCGAAAGTTTACGACCTATGGACATTGCACGTTGGACAACAACGTACGAAAACAGATAGCAATAGGTCACCTGAGTGACTCAGGTGACCTAAAAATTGGCACTGTGCACATTGATCCAAATATTTTTTTTTCTCGGTAACCTTGAGACCCACAATGCAACACAAATGCATCTTGCTGCTAACTGCGTTCTCACAGTTACAAATAACAATCACACTTTGATTTTATGGATATTGCAGATAAATTGTAGATTAAACTTTCCAGATGTCTCGTGCGGTTTGAAGATTTAAGTTAAAAGTAAATAGGGTATCCAAATACACAAGTTTTGCGCTCGCCCAAGCGGTCGCACCGTCAACATATTATTTCTGTCAGGGACGCGCGGGATCCAAATTTAGTTTACTTACATAAAACAAAAAGCACATACAGCATATATTTTCAGAAAAAATAGGGACATACCTTAAGGAAAGATGTCTTCTGCAAATATTATGAAAAATACACTTTCTATTTGTTCTTAAAAGGGACAAGCACAACACAGGACGCATTCTTTGTACGAAAACATATAGGAAATGCCACCTTGGAGTGTAATTCTTAATTCTCACAAACGGATTTAAATGTTCCGGGATAAGTAGAGAAAGGTTTTCTGGAGTATGTTACAAGTAGGTCGGTAGACCAAACTACTGTTAAAGGAATGAAATATTGATATATCATAAAAAATAAAATAAACCTGCAGAATAAAATACGCAAATTTATTTACTGGAAAAGAAAAAAGTGGCAACTTTTCAAAATTAAGGAAAAGCTAGTTGGTTATTTAATACATATATATATATTTAATTTGAATTTAAAGTGCTGGATATTTCCACAATACCATGCTTCATGTTCTTTCCAGCATACTAAATTTCATGTTCTTCCCCAAACGCCTCTCTAAGTGTACAATTGTTCTTTTAAAGAGGGGTTTGGGAAAGAACATGAAATTAGAACAAATGTTCTTTACGAATATAAAAAGTGATTGCTATTATTATAAAACAATTCTTTTAAAGAAAAATTTCACTCAGCTTAAAAAATAAATAAATATGTAAATAAATACATAAATAAATAAATTTATTAATTAATCAATTGATTAATTAATGCGTGTAGATAAAGAAAGAAAGAAAAATAAATAAAGAAATTTAAAAAAAAACAAACAAACAAACAAAACTAAACAAAAAATTAAGGAAGCTGGGATATTATTACGTCACCAATAAAAAAAAGGATATGACGTTGCGCACGGTGTTGGTACTATAAAATCTGACTCTTTAGATGTCGTAAAGAAACTGGCGTTTTCAAGATGATAAAGTTACTAGAAATTAAAAACGAAATTAATTATTTTATCCAAGGTAATAAATTATTCTAAAAATTCTCTTTTTAATAATATAAAAATATCTTAGCTATGATATGGCTTTATTCATTATTGGTTATTGCGGCGAAATTCCCGTGTCCAACGTTACATAAATTATTGTTCTCGCAACTACAAGATATAAAAAGATCCACTTCCAATCCTCTAAATTAAATAAAATTTAGGAAATACAATAATATGTATGCATTCTTTGTGATATTGTTGAATTTTTAGCATCATTTTCTCAATTTCACGAGTTTGGGCTGTATCTACAGTGCGTAAGTAATATGTCCAACAGGAAAAAATCGTTTCCTAAAGTTGACATTAGCCCGCATGGCGATGTATACTAGACATACATGCCACACAAAGATAAATTTTGATGAATAATCTTTAAGTACATATGTTTCTAAAATTAGTTATGTTGATACATGCTATATAACTGCTGATACGTTAATATTAGTAAGGCTTTGTTAAGTGTAGCCATTTTGTTATGCACGTACGAGTCGCTGTACTATTATATAAATAGTGCACGTTTTTGAGGGTAACAGTTGAAATTGACACCCCAAGGAAAACCATTGTCAACCGACGCGTCAGCGGAGGTTGACAATGGTTTTCCGAGGGGTGTCAATTTCAACTGTTACCCTCAAAAACGTGCACTATTTATTTTATTATACTGAATGTCTTATTGATTTCGGATGTCATAAAAAAAAATCGGAGATCGTCGTTAAGTTCACGCTTAGAAAGCTTCCAAACTCCCCGCGTCTATTTTTCTCACTAAGAAAGCTTCGGAAAAGATTTACCAACCTCTTTATTGTTTGTTTGCTACTCAAAAAGTCCTTTATCATCTAAAGTTAGCACTCGCAAGGATGTTTCGTCTGTCGTTTGTTGTTTTCAAGTAAGCTACATCGGACGCAAGCTTTTATTGACGTCGTTTATTCGGCTTCTTTCAAACGCACAACCGACGTTTTGAGAATTCTACGGTGAACCGTACGCGCATGATTTGAACGCATGTGATATTTTCGTAATGTTACCCGTTGTCAAGTGTGTTGCTAACGCTGAGGGTAACATTACGGATTGTTAAATGCGTCTAAACCAATCAGATTTTAGTATTTAACATGAAAGTATAATAATACTTAATATGTCTCAGTTACATATCAAATATACATAAATTAATGTCGTATACATACCAATCATTACTGTATCTTGAAAGAACATTTCATACTGTATTAGATAATAGCATAATTTTCACGGTTATCGTCTACATGAAATAAACGCAAGCATTAATATAGATGTAGCCATTTTGTCACAGGTACGAAAAACGTCATTTTACACACTACATATATACGAATGACGTCGGGAGCGTCAAATTGTATCGCCGTGCTCTTTTTTTTCCCAATTTTCTGCAGGTCCGGAGTTCCAATTAGGGTAAAAGGTCCTTCTCCAAATATTTTAGAACAATCTTTTGTTTTAAATATTCTGAAAATTTTCATTCATAGGCCGATACCCCCTTTTTATTTTGCTGCAGCAATATCTAAACATATCACGTTATTGATCTCTCTCTCTCTCTCTTTCTTTGCTAAAATGAGAATGAGAGCCCCCGCACCCCCCCCCCCTTCCACGAAAAAGTAAAAGGGTATCTGAATTTTATTTTTTCTGGCTAGTTTTTTTTTTTTTTTTCAATTTAGTAGGGTTTTTAATAGCGAAACGTCCCCATCTCTTTTTTTTTTTTTCATGTCAGTAACCCCCCCCCCCCCTGATTTATAAAGAGAGCTTAACTACTTGGGCTGAAGAAAAAAAAAAAGTTTAATTCAGTATAAGGCCATTTATTTTTTTTCAGTTTAGCGACCTCCTATAATTCTAGAACCTATCTACCGATTCACAAAAACGTATCAGTACAAATGCCCAAACTTAAAACAAGAACTTTATACCGGCCTTTCCCCTCTAAAGTCTTTTTCGGAAAACTGGCTCTTGAGTATTATTTCCCCTTCATCAGAAATCCCACACCACATTCAATTTTCCGGGGAAATCCCTACTCTGTGTAACAGTTATAAAGTGTGATTCCTTCAAGAGCCAATTTACCCCTTCTGCTATAAAATATCATTCCAGTACTTATATATGAGGGGGGAGGGGCGACATATGGTTACAAATGTACTTTCTGTAATTTTTTCACAGGTGCTCTCGCAGTTGACAATCTTAATGGAACTTCACAAAAATTGTAATAAAAAAGTCTAGTTGTGTCAACATTTAATTTTAAAAAAAAACGAGGAATTTTATTTTTAATGGATTTTTTTCTCCAGTTATATTTCATAAAACTACATGTGCATAATATTGATTAAGTGTCTCGCCAAGTTTCACCTAGTCATACCTATCCTACGGCTTGCAAGAGCAATGCTTCTTGTATTGTATTTTTTTAACTACTAAAATTTCATACTAAAGGATGTTTTCGTTATAACAAAAGATTTGACCTATAGGAGAGAACAATTTCCTGAAAAAGTCACATTTAAAAATCAATGTTCTTTAGTTGTTTTCTATCGTATATTTGTATAAATTTTTCAAATTTGCATTTTGAACCTAATTTTTTTATATGCAACTTTGAAATTAACCTCCAAAGTTGGTTAAGACAGTATATTATCCGTTAAAGCACTAATTTTTGCGTAAATTTTGGAATAGAAGTCCTTCAGGGCAGGCCTACCCCTAATTTAAATTATGAAATTTTGATAGATTTTGATCTGAAGAATGATTTAAAACAAGATTTTTTAGGGGCGCCCCTGCCCTAGGGTCGAAATTCGTAAAAAACCTACAAAAAGTGCGAAAACCTATTTCTATCATACTGGATTATATTTATGTCAGACGTATGTTCACATAGTCAGTATAGCTCAGAGAGACAGTCCGTAGACTCTCACCATGGACAATTTTAGCGTCCTGGTTCGAATCCACCTGTTGGCACACTTTTATATTTTCAAATTTTTCACCTGTTCATAAACCCGAATTTAATTTTTCACACAGGCTTTTTCATTTTACTTCTATTTTCTTCCTTAAATGTATATGTTTGCTGTTGATATAAAAGACATTTATGGAAATGCAGATCAAAAATTCTCTTTAACTAATCAACCGGAACTATACCTCAGTGTAAGCACACTTTGTTCGAGGACACGAATCATTCACTTTGTGTTACTCGATACTGCAGGTGTCACGAAAAAAAAATCATGCCGAGCAAAAATTGCTGTGTTTGTCTTTCAAGAACATCTCTGTGTAATAGTACTGTTGTGCCATTGGGAGAGATACTGCGCTATGCAGAGTAGATGCAGTTCATTCCTCGGGAAAATTGTGTGCATTGGCGACATGTTATGTCAAAAATGCAGGAGGAAGGTTTACAGATTAGAAAAGAACGTGGTAAGGTCAGTTAAGGTTTTATGTCCCGTTGCCATTACCCAGGCATCAAGTAAGGACCCTCTTATAAAGGATGTTTCTGTAAATACCGATATAGGATCATATGAAGACAGTTGACTAGAACTAAAACGATACATGAAAAACAAGAAACTACACGCATGTGGCCTAAAGTCAGGGACCGGAACGGATATCGATAAGCTTTTTCTAAAGATTGAAACCAATATCGGCCATATATTTAACTAGAAGTGATCCTTTGAAAAATTTTTGAGCGAAAACACTCATATTTCTATTAAAAAATCAGTCGACTTTTATATAAACTTTAGCAATGTCGATATGATTTAAACATTGATAAAACAGGGGAAAACCTACTCTGAGAGAGAAAGAGGGGAAAATTAGCTCTAGTGTAAGATTCCTGAGTATAGATTTCGGGGAGGGGGGGGGGGCTGGTTATGGGGGAAATCCTACTTTGTACAGCGGTTGTCATAAAAAGTACATGATCATTTAAATGTTTTGATTTCATAATTCCACTTTTCTCGTAGAAAGACACATTTTCTCTATCGTAGAAAAATATATTCCTTCGCAAAATCAAGGTTGTAAATGCTAGGTACATTATCTGATTAAACATATTAGAAAAATATAGAAAGAAAATGACAGAATTCAAAAGGTGGGGGAGGTCAGGAAGGAGGTTCCGGACCCCCCTCCCCCCTGGGATTTTCAGTTATAATTTTTTTGCTGTCAAAATCTTCTAGAGTCATATTTTTTTAATTGGTTGGAACCCCCCCCCCTCGCAAAATTTCCTGGAACCGCGCATTAACCGATTTTCTGTGCTTTTCTCTGATCTTGATTGTCAGAAACCAAGGCGCATGCGGGGTTTGATAGAAATAGAAAACTTGAAATGACCTAATGGAAAAAAAAAATGAAGGAGAGACGGTTGAAAGAGAAAGCTACTTGATGTGTTTTCTCTTTGCAAGACTGAGCGTACAAAGTGAGAAAAAAGAAATAGAAAGAGGAATCAAGGATATGAATGGGGATATGTATGCCTGTGACAATTTCATAATAAAAATCTGACAATTTATTAAATATTTATAAGAGTATAAGATTTTTAGTGTACATCTTAATATTTTCAACGAAGATTCAAAAATTGAAAAGTTTGTGCTCTGTTATTTTATTTAGATTTTAAAAAAAATAAATAAATAAAATTCACATTAAACAACTAAAATATGCAATTAACGTTTAAAACGTTGTAACAACGTTATGACTTTAATAACGTTATTTTGACGTAACGTCAATGTGTACCAACACCGTGCGCAACGTCATATTCAATTGTGACGTCAACAGTGAAACGTTTTCGATCCAAGACGAAAGAAGCTGCATGTTTTGACAACACGTTGCCAAGTTATTCGAAGCAAACTGTGCAAGAAAGGAAACACCAAGATGATTGTAGTTGCGAATCTTTTCTTTTTTTGTATCCAGTGGGCGTATCAGAAGATCGAAACACAGTTCAAAATCCTCGGTATGTTATATTCTGTCAGACTTAAAAGACGGACATTTTTTTTTAACTTTTATATTTCACTTTTCCCTAGTTACAAATAATTCATTTCTGTTCTTTCAGGGTCGACTTTGACCAAGGAAGATCGCTATCGAATTATGAGAGAGGGATCTAGTGTTGATGCCATTCCCCGATCAAGCGTAAGCTTGTTGAAAAAATGAATGGATACAACTAAGAAAAAAACCTCGGAAAGCATTCACTTTGGATTTTTGGACTGACAGTAAAATTACTGATGTAAATGTGTATCTATGTCTTTTATAAAGGACAGCTATATGAGTTAAAAAAAAAAATGTCATTTTTTCGTGTAATTTATTACTGTAGAAAAAAAACTTTCAAATTTAAATAAATTTATTTTTCTTCATTAATGTTAACATTTTTTATCTCTACTGTAGGTGCAATTTTTTTTTTATCTCTACTGTAGGTGCAATGTTTAAATAAAATCTGTAGAATATTTTTCAATGCTTGTATAGTAGAGAAAACTTTTTACAACAAAACATTTCTCTTAATAGTGTTTAAAAGTATTACAAGACCTATTGTCGGATAGCTTGTGTTCAGATTTATTCGTTTTATAAGATAAAAAATGTTTGATGTATTTGGGGAGTTCAAAATTGGAAGACAGTATACAGTTGTGTAGCTACTGATAAAATGAAATGAACGCCCAGGCAAATGATCTGAGGACAGTCTGAACTCCCAATTGATTTCCACTCTGAAATGGAGGGGGGGGGGTGTTAAAAAAATATCTGTTTGAAAATGAAAAGTAAGAAATACAAATGTTATGATATATCCATGAGATTTTATGACATTTCATTTTCAGAATGCCCGTGCAGTACTGTATCTTTTTTCTTATTTAAACATGAATAATTTGACGCTTTATCATGCTTCAGCATGAAACATCTCTATGAATTCAAAATACATATAAAGTAATGCTTATGACTGTAATATTGTCAAGCCCATCACAGAAGGTAAGTATAGGTATCATGAGCAAACTTTTTTTTCGGGGGTGGCTGTTACGTGAGAGGGACAAGAATTGTCGGAAATAAATGAGTGTTAGTATGATGCACAGTTGGTGTTATATATGTGCTTGGTGTCTGATAGGGATTTAACTGACAACATGTTCATCGTAATGTAATTTTATAATCACTCTCCATTGGGTATCCAAAATAAAATAAATGAAGATGAAAATAAATCAAAATAATGTTTCAATTGTAAAACGGATTAGATCGCAAAATTTTTATCTTATTAAATAATGGCTGAAATGGTTTCTTTCCTTTTTAATGATTTCAGTCGATTACAGGAAGGAGTCTAGAAAAAAAGCAGTATCTCTGAAATGGGGAACTGTCAAATGTTCATCAAAATGTTCATTAGTCCTTCCTTTAATCTGGAACAATTTTTTCCTGGACGTTCTCTTCGTCTTCTTTTCCCTCTGCCTGGACTTGCAAAATTTCCCCCAATCTCCTTACAGCGATATTCGTACATGGGGTACATTTCATAGCCGTAGGAACCGGGGGGGGGGGCACGGGGGGCCGTGCCCCCCCCCCCAATAATTTTGCCGATATATAGATTACTATAGAAAACTAGAAAACATAGATACTACATGCTTGTGCCCCCTCAATAAATACGTCTGATGTCCTTTTTTTTTTCTTTTTCTTTCTTTCTTTTTTTTTTTTTTGCTTGTCAAGAAATTTTTGGTAGTTGATAGTGCCCCTCAACTGAAAATGTATGGCAACTGAAATTGCTTCCTACGGGCCTGCATTTCAGGCCCGTAGGAAGCAATTTCAAATTGGGGGTGGGGGGGGGCACAACCAGACATTTTCAGTTTGGGAGCCCTACCAAAAATTCTTTGAAAAGTAAAAACAAAAAAACAAAAAAAAGGTCATCAGACGTTATCATTAAGGGGATACAAGCATATAGTAGCTATGTTTTCTATAGTATTATATATCAGCAAAATTATTGAGGGGGGAACCACTCAATTTGTGAAATTTTGATCTTTAGGGCCCTTTTCTGATGATGACAGTCATATATATATATATATATATATATATATATATATATATATATATATATATATATATATATATATATATATATATATATATATATATATAGGTTCGGATTTCGTTGAGGGGGGAGTTTGTTTAGTGCTTGATTGTCAACAGCTGAAATCGGAATATTATTAGAAGCGTATCTGCTTTGGTTCTAATTTTAGCTTGCTCGTCCTTTTTCCCGTTATAGTTTTCTTTCTTTCTCTCTCTCTCTCTACATTGACATCAAGCAGAGAAACAGACAATACAGTTTGTATTATTTTAATCTGTAATAAGTGACAGTAAGAAATAATGATAACAATAATTTACACAGTATTATCTTTATCCAATGAATGCTCGAATTAAATTTTAAAATTAATACTCTATCATAAATCATTGTATTAAATTGTAATTGTTTTCACCTGTTCACGTAGGGAATGGAGACTTTATTGCGTGCAGAGTTGGACGACGAAGACTTGAAGTGTTTGGGCACGGGTGGATCAGGGTGTATTAGCGAAGGACTGATATACCAAACAGGGACAGGACAGAAAATATTTGTCAAAGTCAACAACAAATCAGAGGTATCTGTCATCAACAGTTATAAAATACGTCACTTGTAGAGAGTACATGTATATATAAAATGTTAAATTAACTTGAAATAATTATATTTGCATTTAAGGGGAAGAAGGACCTTTAGCTGAAAAAATACTTGTCATTCAATTTTTTTTATATTTTGTATATTTCTTATTAAGTATGTCCCACATATCTTAAAGCAGTTATATCATTAGGTTTCTTATCTTATTTTAGAGATATTGATTGACAAATATTATGCCCTACAGTATCTAAGTGGAGTTTTAATTCTCCATGTTTCCGGGCTCATTACTCTGTCCATAATTGGATTTTTAAAGCATATATAAAAAATATGTAAGTGAACATGTATCTTTTAAAATATTTCAGAGTATGAATTGGGTTTAAAATTCAAAAAGGCAAGTTTCCTCTATCACACTGCATCTGGATAGGGAAAATTACGAACTTTTTAAGACAACTTAAACAACAAAAAACGTAATTTACAAAAAATCCTATCATTCAATATTTTTAAATTTACGTTGAAATGCAAGTCCTTCAAATTATTGATTAACTGTAAAAATTTCGAATGGTGAAGCTGACCTCAATATTGCACAGCACATCGTTAAAGACGACATAAGCAGGACAAAAACTTGTCATGTTTACATTTCTCGAGTACGGGAAAAACCAACTATGACGTCACACGTAAGCTAAATAAGCGAAATAAGATATACCTACATAAGATTTCCGTCATCAGCCATGCCAAAATAATTTCTGTTTTCCCCGTTTCTCAAAATACTTCATCATATACTGATTATGACCTGTTTTTACATAATAAAACCGCCCTTGTATTCACCGAGTATGATCTTGCTGTACTAGCAGATCGTGTATGACGTCACCAACTTGTTGGACGTGCAGTTTAAAAAAAACAGAGGAGTGGATCAATCTTTTTTCATAATTTGTTAATGTTTGCAAGAATGTTAAACTTTTTATTTTTTTTAATATAAGATGGTAATTAAAGAAAAAAAATTGTCAAAAATTTATACAGGAACTGATGCTTTACACGTTTTGCACTTATATAAATGGAGACTATGACGTAGTTTAACAAAGTCATGTGACCATGTGTCCTTCATCCCCTTAAGAGAGAGAGAGAGAGAGAGCATTCAGAAATAGTAAATTTCTCAGTTCATTTATAAATTCTTTATGACTGATTAGCTAGGTGTGACCACACTGTGGCTCGAACCTACAACCCTCAGATTTAAAATCCAATGCTCTACCAACTGAGCTAAAGGGTTAACCCACTAGCTAGTGCTAGTAGGAGCGTGGCCTCACTATATACAATGCATAGCCACTTTCAACTCTGTTACACTTCCCCCTTCTTTTCCTTGAGATTTCTTACCCCTGAGAAATCTCTCATACGAGACTCTATAAACACCACTCACCATATGGGTTTTGTAGTTGGGTGCCAATATGACCGATTAGCTAGGTGTGTCCACACTGTGGCTCGAACCTACAACCCTTGGATTTAAAATCCAACACTTTACCGACTGAGCTAAAGGGTTAACCCACTAGCTAGTGCTAGTAGGAGTGTGGCCTCACTATTTACAACGCATAGTCACCTTCAACTCTGTTACATCTTTAACCAAAGTTATAAACACAGATATTCATATGACTTTTAGGGAGGAAATTACCCTCTCTGAAATAATAAGGTAAAAAAAAATCCAGTTATTCAAGCAGTTATTCAAGGACCCTGAGATCTATCCCCTCCCCAACCCCACCTCCCAAAAGACAATTGGCATTTTCAGAGCAGTTGGTTGGGGGTTATAGAGCATTTTCAGTTAGGATTTACAGTGTAATTTTTTTTAGATACAAATTAATAAATCATATGCAATTAAAAAATAAATTAATCTCTAAAGATTTTTTTCCTAGATTTATTTTATTTTTACTATTTTAGGATATTTACCATTGTAATGGATGCAGATATTTAAACAAAAAAGTGGATTTTTTCCAGGGGAAAAATAACGAGTATTGGAAGTAGATTATGTCTAGATTGTTTCCTGAAATGTCATATATGTCTCTCCTTCAACTAAGAATTGGGCTAATTTTTTTTTATTTGATGTCAAAGGTCAAAATTTTTTAATATTGTAGAAACAATATATAAAGTGTTATACAAAGAGTCCTAAACCTTTTAAGTTACCTGTCATTAAATAAAGTTAAAATCTTTGGTTTTATACTTATTAACAGGCTCGACAGATGTTTGATGGGGAATATAGAAGTTTGGAATACTTATATGCAGCAGGAATTATCCAAGTTCCAAAACCAATTAAGGTACATCATAGAAATTCTAACTTGGATATAATTATGGAAAATTTTTAAAATTCCAGTAAAATTCCTTCGTGTCTTATCCATCTCAATAATTTATTTAAATAAATGAAATTCTAGTTGGCAGTTAATTTAACTTCATTCATCATCTGATTTTTTAGCTCAACTAAGCTGAAAGCTCAAGTTAGCTTTTCTGATCAGATTTTGCCCAGCATCTGTCGGTCTGTAAACTTTTAAATTTTTGACTTCTTCTCCAGAACTAATGAGCTAATTTCCACCAAACTTACCTCAAAGCATCCTTGGCTGAGAGGATTCAAGTTTATTCAAATGAAGGTGCATGCCCTCCTTCAAGAGAAGATAATCACAAATTTGATGACATCTTTTAAACAATTTTCTTCTCAAAAGCCACTGGGCCTGTAATCAGTAAACTTAAGTGAAACTGTGAAAGCTTAATTAATCACATAGTATAGATTTAAAAATCTTTTCAATATCAGCAGGGCCATGAGTAGGGATATTAAAGGTGCTTGGACACAGATTTGAAGTTAATATTTTCTCAAATTTTCTGTATAATATCACGACTTATATATTGCAATGGCATTTCACACGAAAATATAATTAAAAACTTATTTTATCTGGAAATTATTGGAACTACGAATTCCGGGACGTGTTTGATTAACACATCATTGCACTTACCCTGGTACACAAATTTTAACTTTATCCTTAATATTTAAGAAAAGAGGCGATTCTGTTATGTATTAATGAAAAATAGTACATCTATAATCCAGAAAGATCAGAGTAGAAATGTTCGAAAGCAAAACCAGCTCACCAGTATTGTCAGTCCGTGCTCTTTGATGTGTACAGAGCTTAACAAATTGAACACACCCGTGAAACGTAAACTGTTTTTGTAAACAGGGCACGAGCTCTGTTATTGTTAATGTTTACGATTCACCGGGTGTGTTCAATTGTTAAACTCTGCACACACGACTGAGCACGAACTTACAATACTGTGACTGGGTTTTGCTTTCGAACATTTCTACTCTGAGTTTTCTGGGTTATAGTTTTAATATTTTTCATTAATGCACAACAAAATTGCCACTTTTCTTAAGTATTAAGAATAAAATTAAAATATGTGAAAGCGCAAGGATGTGTAAATCCAACGCGTCAAGAAATTCGAAGTTTTGATAACTTCGAGATGAAATAAGATTTTTATTATATTTTAGTATGAAATACTATAGCAACATATAAGTCATGAAATTATACAGAAAATTTGAGAAAATATTAACTTCAAATCTGTGTCCAAGCACCTTTAATGGGCAAGCATCCTCAGGTAATGTAGATTCAATTTTATTCAAGTCATGGCCCACAGGGGTAGGTTAGAGTTACAGATACGAGAGTTTTACTTGAAAATATATAAGAAAAACATTTTAAAATTTCTTTTCAACAGCAAGAGGACCATGATAAGTGATATTAAGATGCTATCTTAGGTAGTGGTAGTGCCGATTTAGGTTTGTTCAATTCATGTCTTCCAGAGAGGATGGACCATGGTTTGATAAAAGAAACAAAAAATATATATTGTGCATAATATGTAATCCAAAACGATGGTATCCATTGAAATTTAAAGGTTGCAAACCAAGCCAGTCATAAATGAGAAGTTTATTTTCTAGGTCATAGACCTACCAGAAGGAGGTTCTGCTTTGATTATGGAACATGTTGAGATAAACAGTTTGTCCTCACAAGCTGGGAAGCTAGGGGAATTAATGGCCAGGTAATAGACTGTTCAAACAGCTCATAGTGTTAATAGACTGTTCAAACAGTTCTTAGTGGTTGTAGGATGTTCATAGGATACAGTTCAGAGAGGTAATAGGGTGTTCATAGGGCACAGTTCATAATGGTTGTAGGGTGTTCGTATGATGCAGTTCAGAGTGGTTATAATGTATTCATTATTCAATATAAGTATTTCAAAGTAGTTGTAGATGTAATAAATGTGTCAGATGACAACTTAATATTAAAATTATTCTTTGATCTACCTGCATACAATTTATTTGTTTAGTAAGTATGTAAGGAGTTGAGAGTTTGTAGGTAAATATTTAGCTCATCTCAACTGAAAGTCTGATCAAAGTTTATCTATTGTGTGTCTGTCCATTGTCCTTAAGACATTATTTTTATAATTCCTCTCCAGTAATTACTGGGCCAATTTTGACAAAACTTGCCACAAAGCATTCTTGAGTGAAGGAATAAAAGTTTGTTTAAAATCATTTAGAAGCTATGCCATTATAATTATAAGGATGAAGGATCCAGTGTCTTGTAGTGGTACATTATGTAATATCATCTTTAAAGTGGTTTATATGTTATAAATGTATAACATATAATTGTCTAATAAAATCTAAATTTGGAATTAATTGTACATGTATATAGCTGCTTTCATTAAGTCATTTTGTGGAAGCAAATTTTGCAGTTGATGCTGTGTAATATGTATTGATATGTCTGATATGCATGTTTACATTTGCACAATTTGATTGACTTGTTCTTCTTTATCATATGTGAACATAGTCCTCTGGGAAAGCTAATTGAAGGGGAAGAGTTTAAAAATAACAAACAAACAACAAAAAAGCAACTTTTGTCAGTTTATTAGAAGTGTTTCTATGCTCTTTTATTGGGGATATTTATTAAATTTTCTTTCATTCCTGAGTTTTTTTTTTAAAACACAGATTACATATGCTAAACTCAGAGTTGTTGGAGAAATCAAAGAAAATGGAGAAGTATGTGGGTAAAGCAGGCCAGCTGTCCCCCGTCACTCAGTTTGGATTCGACATAAACACATGTTGTGGATACATACCACAAGACAATACCTGGCAAAATAACTGGGTGGTAGGATGCTTAAAATTATATTTCAAATTAAGTTATTCAAACTATGTTTTATTTTCCAGTAAATTTTGTGTCATCAAAACAATCCCAGCAATGAAAATATTTACCAGTTATTTCATTCGCTTGGACCATAAAATACAAGAAATCTTTTTTGTAATTGAATAATTGAATTATTTTGAAAAATCAGAAAATATTTTTTTTTTAAATGAAAGCTTTAGGATGATCCATTTATAAATCTAATTAAAATTATATCCTTTGATCCACTCGCAGAGATTGTTACAAAAAGGATATAACATTGTTCAGTTATATTGTTAGATGGACCTTTTATCTAAAATAAACGTTAAAAGTCAATGGAAATTATCAATTAGTATCATAGATAGGAGAATGAGATTCAGTCTTACAGAATCAGTTTGTTTTCATCTCAAAGCACCAATTCAGCATGTTTTAGTTATTACAGTCAAATTTCATCAGTGTGACAGTGTACATAGTCTTGTTTACATGAGGGATTGAATGGGTTTTATCAATCACTCTGATAGACACATGACTGGTGCAGGAGCTGATGATCTTATTAGTGAGTTATCACATGAACGGTTTAGAAGGTGATGATCTTATTGGCTAGTTGTATCATGAATGGTTTAGAAGGTGAAGATTTGATTGGCTAGTTGTATCATGAATGGTTAAGAAGGTGAAGATCTTATTGGCTAGTTGTATCATGAATGGTTTAGAAGGTGGAGATCTTAGTGGCTAGTTATATCATGAATGGTTTAGAAGGTGAAGATTTTATTGGCTAGTTGTATCATGAATGGTTTAGAAGGTGATTATCTTATTGGCTAGTTGTCACATGACTGGTATAGAAGGTGATGATCTCATTGGTTAGTTGTCACATGAATGGTTCAGAAGACAATGATCTTATTGGCTAAGTGTCACACATGATTGGTTTAGAAGATGATTATCTTATTGGCTAGTTGTCACATGATTGGTGTAGAAGGTGATGATCTTAATATTGTCTAGTTGTCACATGAATAGTTTAGAAGGTGATGATCTCATTGGCTAGTCACACATGAATGGTTTAGAAGGTGATGATCTTATTGGCTAGTCACACATGAATGGTTTAGAAGGTGATGATCTTATTGGCTAGTCACACATAAATGGTTTAGAAGGTGATGATCTTATTGGCTAGTTGTCACATGATTGGTTTAA